TCTCTCTCTCTCTCTCTCTCTCTCTCTCTCTCTCTCTCTCTCTCTCTCTCTCTCTCTCTCTCTCTCTCTCTCCCTCTGCGTAAGTGGCGGACCGCAAGGGACAGAGGGAATGGAATAAAGTGAGCAAGCGAGCTGGAAATTGAGATAACTGAATCTGTGGAGTGGGAGAGACGCAATTAGTGGAGGGTGACAAGCCCCACATGACAACATGGTAACTGTGCTGCTGCCAGCCTCAGGGGCCAGGTAGAGTGCCATAGAGTGCCTCAGGGGCCAGGTAGAGTGCCATACAGTGCCTCAGGGGCCAGGTATAGTGCCATACAGTGCCTCAGGAGCCAGGTATAGTGCTATAGAGTGCCTCAGGAGCCAGATAGTGCTATAGAGTGTCTCAGGAGCCAGATAGTGCTATAGAGTGTCTCAGGAGCCAGATGGTGCCTCAGGAGCCAGGTAGAGTGCTATAGAGTGCCTCAGGAGCCAGGTAGAGTGCCATAGAGTGCCTCAGGAGCCAGGTAGAGTGCTATAGAGTGCCTCAGGAGCCAGGTAGAGTGCCATAGAGTGCCTCAGGAGCCAGGTATAGTGCTATAGAGTGCCTCAGGAGCCAGGTAGAGTGCTATAGAGTGCCTCAGGAGCCAGGTATAGTGCCGTAGAGTGCCTCAGGAGCCAGGTATAGTACCATAGAGTGCCTCAGGAGCCAGATAGTGCCTCAGGAGCCAGGTAGAGTGCTATAGAGTACCTCAGGAGCCAGATACCCTTCCCTCTCCTCGTTCTTCTGCCCCTTAGAGGGTAATTTTTTCAGCACAGAAAAAATAGGCCTTTTTTTCCCCCCAATCTTGTACCTTTTTTTCTGTTTTTTTATGTAGCCCCCGGTACAAGAGGTTTGTTTGTCTGTGCGCTCACTTGTTTGTGTCTGCGGCGTGTCGTCTGGTAACACTCTCAGCGCTCAGGTTCGAACCCTCACAAGGGCCTCTGTGGATTTCTTCTTTGCAATATAACGTTATTGTGATTTATCTGTGTGGTGTGTGTGTGTGTGTGTGTGTGTGTGTGTGTGTGTGTGTGTGTGTGTGTGTGTGTGTGTGTGTGTGTGTTTGTGTGTGTGTGTGGTGTGTGTGTGTTCTCGCTGATCTGTGCTTGTAGGTAAAGGCTTTAGCTCTTGGAGCCCGCCTCCTCACTTCTGGGTATCTGATATACAACACCCTTCTTCCCCCCTACGTGGCCTCGTAGCCTGGTGGGTGGCCTCGTAGCCTGGTGGATAGCGCGCAGGACTCGTAATTCTGTGGCGCGGGTTCGATTCCCGCACGAGGCAGAAACAAATGGGCAAAGTTTCTTTCACCCTGAATGCCCCTGTTACCTAGCAGTAAATAGGTACCTGGGAGTTAGTCAGCTGTCACGGGCTGCTTCCTGGGGGTGGAGGCCTGGTCGAGGACCGGGCCGCGGGGACACTAAAGCCCCGAAATCATCTCAAGATAACCTCAAGATAAGATAACCCCCCCATAACAATTTCTTAGGACTAGGTCCTGTCTGTATATTAAATATGTGAAATGAGTTTGAATTTAAGGTCCTTTTTCTTGTATTTCTTCCCTGGAGTTGCTGGGTCATTCACTGGAGTGCCTCCTTATATTCCTGTGAGTTACTGACTCTTCCTGTTTCCTCCTTGTCGTCTAGTCTTGCTTCTGGTCGCCTGGGACACCTGACCTTTTTATAGTTTTTTCTGTATCTTGTACGTTAAGACTATGTCTTCTCTGTTTTTTTTTCAGCCACTGTTTGTAGCTTCAGTACTTTGAGCCTGTTTAGTTACCGGGTAGACGTAGTTACCAGGTAGACGTAGTTACCAGGTAGACGTAGTTACAGGGTAGACGTAGTTGCAGGGTAGACGTAGTTACCAGGTAGACGTAGTTACAGGGTAGACGTAGTTACAGGGTAGACGTAATTACCAGGTAGACGTAGTTACCAGGTAGACGGAGTTACAGGGTAGACGTAGTTACAGGGTAGACGTAGTCACAGGGTAGACGTAGTTACAGGGGTAGACGTAGTTACAGGGTAGACGTAGTTACAGGGTAGACGTAATTACAGGGTAGACGTAGTTACAGGGTAGACGTATAGTTACAGGGTAGACGTAATTACAGGGTAGACGTAGTTACAGGGTAGACGTATAGTTACAGGGTAGACGTAATTACAGGATAGACGTAGTTACAGGGTTCTGGTACGTGGTGTGGTCTTCACACTAGACGTGTGATTGGTTGGTCATTAACTGTTGCTTACCGTCGTATGTTACGTTGTGTTGTGTCTGTGTCTTGGAGGCAGTCATTATGTATTGGTTCTTAGCTCTGGTGCCGTCCTCTTCTCTCCTTTGATCTTTGTCAAATTTCCACTTTCTGATTACCCATAATTCCCCCTCCTTCCCTCTCCCCAGTAACTCTATTTTTCCCCTCATTTCCCCCTTGTTGTTGTGTCCCTTCAGGTAGGAGAGGGTAGTTTAGAAACGGTTTCGTCATGCCCGAAACGCTTTGCGTAATAGTGGCTTTAGGCATTGTATGTACTAGCCCTAACTATAAATCCATCACTCTTTGTAAAATCTCTTTTATGTATGTACCTTACCTAAATAAACATTTGTTTTTTTTTAAGTCTAATGGGCCACGGGATATTATGTTCTATTAGACGTATTTACTATCTCTCTTCTGCTTCTCTGTGTCTATATTTGATTCGATTCTCTCTCTTTCTCTCTCTCTCTCTCTCTCTCTCTCTCTCTCTCTCTCTCTCTCTCTCTCTCTCTCTCTCTCTCTCTCTCTCTCTCTCTCTCTCTCTCTCTCTCTCTCTCTCTCTCTTTCTCTCTCACTCTCATATAGTCAAACACCAAGACACAGTGTGTGTGTGTGTGTGTGTACTCACCTATTTGTACTCACCTATTTGTGCTTGCGGGGGTTGAGCTTTGGCTCTTTGGTCCCGCCTCTCAACTGTCAATCAACTGATGTACAGATTCCTGAGCCCACTGGGCTCTATCATATCTACATTTAAAACTGTGTATGGAGTCAGCCTCCACCACATCACTGCCTAGTGCATTCCATCCGTTAACTACTCTGACACTGAAAAAGTTCCTTCTAACGTCTCTGTGGCTCATGTGGGTACTCAGTTTCCACCTGTGTCCCCTTGTTCGCGTCCCACCAGTGTTGAATAGTTTATCCTTGTTTACCCGGTCGATTCCTCTGAGGATTTTGTAGGTTGTGATCATGTCTCCCCTTACTCTTCTGTCTTCCAGTGTCGTAAGGTGCATTTCCCGCAGCCTTTCCTCGTAACTCATGCCTCTTAGTTCTGGGACTAGTCTAGTAGCATACCTTTGGACTTTTTCCAGCTTCGTCTTGTGCTTGACAAGGTACGGGCTCCATGCTGGGGCCGCATACTCCAGGATTGGTCTTACATATGTGTGTACTCACCTAGTACTCACCTAGTTGTGTTTGCGGGGGTTGAGCTCTGGCTCTTTGGTCCCGCCTCTCAACCGTCAATCAACAGGTGTACAGATTCCTGAGCCTATCGGGCTCTGTCATATCTACATTTGAAACTGTGTATGGAGTCAGCCTCCACCACATCACCCCCTAATGTGTGTGTGTGTGTGTGTGTGTGTGTGTGTGTGTGTGTGTGTGTGTGTGTGTATACAGGTAAACTACTTAATGTGCACCATTCCAGGCAGTGTTGCCACACCCGACAGTTTAACTCGACACGCAGGACCTGCAAACTTGCAAAACAAAACGCAATTTAAATTCAGGCAGAGAAGAGTCAACACAAATAGTGGCGGCACTTTCTCTCTCTCTCCCTCTTGGCCGCAGTGGTGAGGCTTCGGCGCGTGAGAGCTGGCAAGTGTTAGAGAAAGAGAGCGAGTGAGAGTAGAGAAAGATGCTAGTTTAAGAGTCCAAGAATGATGGAGTCAGAGTGAAGAGAGAGAGAGAGAGAGAAAGAGAGAGAGAGAGAGAGAGAGAGAGAGAGAGAGAGAGAGGGGGGGGGGGGGGTAGAGCTAATGAGCGCTATATAGTGAGAGTAATTATGAGAGTGAAAGTGTGAGAGCGAGGAACTATGAACACTGGGACAAAGTGAACAATTACCCGTCAAACACACACCGCAACTACGACGTTGGTACAACGTTCGAGCAAGTTTTAACACCTCCTAACCAATTATAACAACCAATATAGCAAGTTGTAACAACGTTCTAATACGTCATAAACACGTTAAGCCAAGATGTAACAACTCTATTACATGTTGTAACAAGCGGAAAATAGAGACAGTTTCGGTTTGTGTTTCCAGGGTATAGCCGTTCCTGCTAAACTCTTTGTTTTCCCGCCAGACTCTTGGACACGGAGGGGCGCCAACCAGAGCGCAGTACCTGACTCGGCGCCAACCAGAGCGCATACCTGACTCGGCGCCAACCAGAGCGCAGTACCTGACTCGGCGCCAACCAGAGCACAGTACCTGACTCGGCGCCAACCAGAGCACAGTACCTGACTCGGCGCCAACCAGAGCACAGTACCTGACTCGGCGCCAACCAGAGCGCAGTACCTGACTCGGCGCCAACCAGAGCACAGTACCTGACTCGGCGCCAACCAGAGCACAGTACCTGACTCGGCGCCAACCAGAGCACAGTACCTGACTCGGCGCCAACCAGAGCACAGTACCTGACTTCAAATGGTTCATGCACAAGAACAAAAAAAAAAAAAGGTATTTACAAACTACTCTCACATTTTGCTTTCCAAATTATCATTTATTTTTATATAAAATAATTTTTATTTATACCGGTATAAAATATAATTTTTTTGCTATTATGTATATTATGTAGAATTATGATGTAATGACGTCATACACCTCTCAAACACCATATAATTATTAATTATAATAATAATAATAATAATAATAATAATAATAATAGCATATTGTGTAAAATGGGTTCGACAATTTTATTTAGGCGCGTAATTTGCGATTGCGCCAAAAAGATTATAATTATTTCCCGAAATTATGTGTGT